TTTGAGTTTATATTTTGCTAATTAATAGAGTCTATTGTGTTGATAAAACTTCTAATATTAAAGGGTAGTGTGAGAAAAACTGAATCAAGGAAATTTAGGAGTGAAATTTTTTTATTCAGTTATTCTCGTAATAGTCTGCAATGGACTAGAAAATCAATAAAATGATTATAACTTATTGAGAAAGTTTTAATAGCATACACATCCTTTTAGAAGATTTATCTACTTGATGAACTTATCAATTATTAAAACATGAGCTCGAACAAAAGGTATCAGTTGAACGGTTTCCTCTTAAAATAATTTTTCTAGACCATTTTTTTGTCTTCATATATTTGATTAAAACAAGTAGACATGTATATGGGTCCTATTCATGAACTCAATATTCTCATTTCGTGCCCTGGAAACTTGTCATTGATTAACATTCGAGGCCAATCATTTAGGCGTCCAATTTTGTTGATTTTCGACCAGAACGGCAGAGGAAATACTTGGTAGCCGGTCGGAAAACTTCACAAGTATGATCATATTCGATGACTAGCTTTCTTCGGTTATGTTTGTTTCCGATTAGAATCAAGCAAATCCAGACATCGAATTGTTGCTTCCAAGTTCCAATCATATTTTGAAGAGTTTTCCGATCGGAATTGATCATACCTCATTCACCTAGGACTAAAAGTATATGATTACAATTTCGAAATTCTAAGTCTAGACGATCTTGCCTCATGTAACAAATATCTAAACATGAAGAAAAATTCTTTTAGAACTTTTGCCTTAAAAAGATTCATTCATTACTCATATAAGAGGTTCAAAAGCTACCGATCTTTTTTTTTGTCACACTTCCAAAACGTAAATATGTTCCGTTAAATTGAAATTTTATTTAAAATCACGCAAGCAAATCTTCATTTATTTAGATTATTAGAACTTATATGGGCTGTATTAATCGACCAACTTCTATGTGAAGTCGAAGATGTCACATCACCAGTAAGTAAATCTTAATTCAAAAAAAAAATAAATAAATAAATATTGAAAAAAAATCTAGAAATCAATTTCATCTTATGCACGATTATCAAAAGCTCTTGATGGTCTTGTCGAATATTTTAATAACGAAGAACATTATTTACCAAAAGATATTCTCAAAACTGATAAATACAAGGTAAAAATACAAATCGATTTAAGATTCTAATATTTATTTATTTTTTTTTTCATTTTAGTTAGTAAAAAAATTATTAAAATATCAATCTACCGATACACAATCGTTAATCAAAATGTATTATCAAGTAAATTACTAAATAAATAAATATTTAAATCAAATAATAAAATTAATCTATTTCTAGGAAAAAGCTCAAGAACAAGATCGTGCTAATAGTTCAAATCAAATTGATTTAGGAAAACTTTATTGTCGAGCTTATTATCATTCAAAAGAAGAAACATTATATATTGAAAGTATGTCTTGTTCTTTTTTTGCTGAAACACAAACTAAAAGTAATGCTGAAGTCTATAGATAAAAATTTGGATTCTTCACAGTCCGTGAAAGACATTGATGTACGATTGTAAACCGTATATCAATTAGGAAACTACAGATCCTTCTAGACTCGAGCCCAGGCCCAAATTTCCGTTTATTGCTAGACTTGGGTCTACAGAAACGTGGACACGTAGCTTCTTGATACGAATAATGTCTCGTTTATAGTATGTGAAGCACTTTCTTATTGCATTTCTGAGCGATTAAATAAAACGATCATGAAGAAATATGAATTTCCCATATTAATCCTAGAGAGATTGTACTAACATTTTTGTTTTGTTTTATTTAATTTAAATATTTCTTATTTATTTCTGTTTAAGTTATTTCATGTAAAAATTTAAGACCATGTGATTCAAATGGTTTAAGGTAAATTAAAATTAAAAGAAATTAAAAAAATTTAGTTTCATATTTTAGTGATCCATATGTTGAAGTACAATTATGTCCAAGATTTTTATATCCTCATCTTGAAAAACAACAAACATCAGTTATAAAAAAAACTCTTAATCCACATTTTAATGAAAAATTTGAATTGTAAGTAAATTAAAATCAAATTGTTATATGAATTTCTCGTGTTCTTTTTTATTTTTAATTGTTGTAGTCGATTAACAGAAAAAGAATGTAATTTATCAGGTGGAATCGTACATTTTATAGTAATGGATCATGATTTAATGTGGTCAAATGATTTTGAAGGTGAAGCATTTCTTGAAATATGGAAAATAACTGGAATAAATAATGATAATCGAGCTGTAGAAGAATTAAAACAAATTGAATTAGCATTAACACATCCGAAAGGTTAGATAAAAGAAAATTATTTTAATTTGTGAAATTTACAAAAAAAAAAAAAATTCTTTTAGTTGTACGAAGTCGTATTATTGAAATATTGGAACAACGAATAACCGATAAAATAGCGGTCGACTTTGTTCGAAGACGACGTGAAAAAGAAAATCAATAAATACTTTTTTTTCCTTCACGAAAATATATTTTACTTTTTTTTTCTTTTTTTTCTTCTGTGTATTCTTGTTTATCCTATTTGTAAGTTTGAGCAATATTGAAAAATTATTTATATTTAATCCCAAATGATTAAAAGAAAAACATATTCATTATTTTGTAATATAAGGTAGTCGTGTAAATGATTTATATGGAAAATAATACAAATAAGAATATTCGTTAATTAAAAAAAAAAAAAGAAAATTAAATAATATTTACATGTTTGCTTCTTTGTTGAAATACTAAATTATCAATTTAATGTTTATGTGTTACAGTTTATCATATATTTTAATTCGAATAATATAATGATTAAACGTTGATTCTTCTTTTTTTCTTTTTTCGTCTTGTTTATTTATTATTTTTCGAACATTATCAATTCGCTAAATATATATAAAACGTCAGTTAAATAACATATACACGAATAGAAATTTTCTTTTTCTCTCATACTTTCATTATTTTGTGGCTTTCGATCATTGTTTATAGATATATGTTATTTAATTCATTATCGTGTTATTGTGTCTATGTATAAAAATAATGTAATTATTCTTGTATTTATCTTTCAATTTTATTAGAATTCGACTATCTCATTACTAAGATTAACTTGCTTCATTTCATTGATGAATTGAATTATTGCCATAAATATCAAATTATTCTTTCTGAAATAAATGTTACAATAATATAATCCTAGTAAATGTAGTACATCCAAGTTTGTTACCAGTCTGTCACAGAAACGTTTTTGAATACTAAAGTAATTTAGAGCTTTTTATCACTTGATTTTAGAATGTTTCGAAGTGTTTGATCGACTAACTTGATGAAGACATTTTCATACAATGGTATAGAAACTGAACAAGTCTCGAAGTTGAGACCAAATCGAACTGGATATCGCTTCTTCAAGTAGTACTAATTCCATATAGACAAGAGTAGACGATAGATCAAAATTGGATTTTCATGTTGATCAGATATGTCATATTAGAGTTGATATTCGTATAGATTAAAATTAAATTTTTAATGTTAGTAGGTTTGTTTTAGGGCTACTATTAATCTCACATCATTATTATAGTAAAGAAAAATAGTGGAATTTAAGAGAAAACATAATAAAAGAACGCTACCATCTTGAAGTAATGCGTCGACATAAACACAATTAGTGCAACTCTGATGAAGTGGAGATATACTATATTACCCGAAGATTAAATTAAGCATGTAAAATAAGCAATAAAAGCTTTTTTCTATCTTTGCCGATGACATGACGTTTTTTTTTCTAAATTGATGATAGTTCAATTAGTCATTTTTTATTTAAGACTTGAGTACATTTTTGAAAAGTGGTTTAAATTCAGTTCGATTCTTCATTATTTTCTTAAAAATTAGCCCGATTTCGGTTCGGTCCATTTTCAGTCTCTATCTCCGAGCGAATATTTGGTCAATACAGAAGTACTGAGATGATTCACAGCAGGATACCTGATTAAGATCCTATGCCATACTGGTGATATGACACTATTTTCGTTTATTTTATTAATGAAAAGAACTATTATTGCATTAAAACATACACAATGGATCATTGATTAACAAAAAAAAAAACGTTTTATTTACTCATTTCAAAAGCTTGGCGGATTGTCATTTGTTTTTCCATAGGAAGAAACATCTTATTCAGATTTAAAGGAATTCGTTAGAGTTGTGATATTATATATTAATAAGAAATTATATCGCCTGCCTTCTTCGTGGTACAAATCTCTTTCCTGTATCAACAAGATAGGATTTCTCTGCACTTGCATGCATGTTACTTACAAAAACTATTTTCAAGGCTATTTGTATGTAATTACAGATAGAATGATTTGCAGATAATGAATGCTACTTAATATAGATGCGACACGTTAACTTTAAACGTAAAGTTAAAGTAGCATATTTTGAAATTTTATCTTTTGAAAAAAATCAAAGTTGAAGTATATGTATGCTAATGATGTCTATTGATAATAATTCCCAAAATTTCTAGTTTAGTCTTATCTTCTTATTCTAAAAATATTATTTGTATGAAAAATGGAAGAAAATCAACTTAAATAAATGTAAACTACAGTGCTTATAATATACACTAATGCTGTAATCTATTTGATTGATAACTAATCTATGTTCTGAAATTTTATAAAGTTTGATCAAACACCTTCAATATGAAGAGATCTGAATCTATCGTTAGTTTCCAGAAATTGAGTTTGATTTTTTCAGTAACATGCTTGTAAAGCCAGGCTACTCTGCAATGGTAACTTTCCTTTCTCAAGAGTTATAAATCCAGTTCTTTTGTAAGTTAATTATGAATGACAAACATAAATTATTATTTTTATTGTAGATTTTTCTTTATATAATCTTTTCTCGAGTCAGAAATGTTCATATTCATTAACATTGATACTAATAACAATTTTCTTCTTTTTATCCCCAAAATCTTCAATATATTCTTATTAATTGTTTTAGAAGATAACAACAAAACAAAACAATGAAAAAAAAAAAAAGAAAAACATCAAGCAAGTGCTGATGTTCCTTTAATAGTCAAAATAGCAGCTGATGATTTTCTTTTTTTACGTTTTTTCGCTTCATTTGATGTTAATTTTTGTGTTGCATCAGCAAAAAGAATAACATCATTTTGTTCTTCAATTTGACGTCGAATTAATTTTAAACCAGCAAGATTAAATCCAACATTATTCTTAACAAAAAGAAAACGAATCATTTTTTTTTTTGAAATTTTAATTTTTTCGTAAAAACCTACTCTTAATTTTTCTACTGCATCCATACAATGTGTTCGTAATTGTTCAACAATATTTAAATATTGATGAGATGATGTTAATACACCATGATGAATTCTATATTAAGAAAAAATAATAATAAATTAAAAAAAGAAAAATATTTGAATTTTACTTGATTAAAAAAACAGCACATTTAACACATAATTCTGGTGATTGAAATCGATCGAGATAATAAATAAGCAATGATAATAATTTTTGAACATAATCAAATGGTAGAAGAAGAAGTGTTGCTTCCAAATCACTAAAAAAATTTAATTCAAAAAAAACTAAAATTAGAAACAACAAAAATAGACTTCATACCTTGCAGGAATTTTTCTTAATGATTCAAATACAAAACGTTCAGCTGTATAACTACTTCCTAATGCTTGTAACATAAAATGACGTGGTGGTGGAGGTATCTTAATTAACAAAAAGAAAAAAATTATTTTTCTCTTATAATTAAAATAATTTATTTTACTTCTTTTCCTAATGCTTTTTGTGTTGCTTCATGTTCAGCAAGTTTTAATTTTTCTTCACGCCAAATATCAAGTGCTTCAATAACACTTTCTGCCTAAGAAAAAAACAATAGAATAAATAAATATAGACAAAATTAAAAAAGAACGATTTGAATAAAACTTACACCTTTAAGACTTTCAATTGTTTTTAAAGTAGCTAAACCAATTTCTTTATTTGTTTCACCAGGTAATATAAATTCATCATTTTCCATTTCATTTTCAAATTGAGCTTCACGTTCCTAACCAAAGACAAAAAAAAAACATACAATTGATTAACTGTTTACCGAAACGAAACGTATGTATTTATACATTTTGAGTTTTTACATAGTTTATAACGTTATCAATGCGTTACAGAGTTTATTCATGAAAGTCTCAAATATTTTTCCAAACATTCATAATCTTTATTCATTTCTTAATAGTCGCTATCTATAACTCTAATAATAAAACTTAGCTTTAAACAGAATTTTTCGTAAGTAATAAGTATATTGTCCTCAGGGAAATAACCATAACATAGCTTCCCGAAAGTCATCAAATATTCGATATGTGAGATATGTCAAACAATCTATTCACAAGTTATGTTGAATTAGATATGTTAATAAAATTCACACAATCTTTGCCTTATAATTGTGAGATCAGTTTTTTTTACAAGACTTAAAAGAAATGAAGATATAATTGTTTTATTTAATTTTGAATCATGCTCGAAATAACGCTGCAATCGTTCTAAGATTCATAGATATTTTAAATGTAATGTTGAAGTATTTCAATTAAGTTCACTGTAGAGACTAAGCTGATTCAAATTCTTTATGATTTACTACATTTGATGTTCTCTTAAATCAAATCCAACAGACTCTTGAGCTAGCCAAGGCAACCGTTTATCATGTTTTTTTTTTCAAATTTTCAATAAAAAAAAAAAAACTTTACTTTTTGAACAGGACTTGTAGGTATCAAAATCATTTTGATGAGATTCAATCATGGTGAATAATAAATTGTGACTATATTATTCATTATCTATGCATTTATTTATTTAGTTTTCTTTAGCCATTTCGCCAATTTACTGTTTGGACTATCTTATCAGCTATTATTATTACCATCTTACATGAATTGTTGATTAAATCCTATTGTTCTCTAATCTGTATTTATATTGTCATGATAAAGCAAGACTTAATAGACCTGTTGTAATCAGTTTATGGAGTTCATTGAAAAATTTCTTAAGAGTTTTCTTGTTTTTTGTTTATTCTCGATAGATAAATACTATATGAAAATCAATCAATGTTTCTTATAATCATATTATTTCACTATATATAACGTTTTTTGTCTTCTAATAAAAACAATATTCTGCTATTATTCAATTATCATCATAATATTAGCATATAAAAGAAAATAGGCAGACAAGCTTATCAAATTTATGAAAAACTAGGCTTATTCAGACTTCTTGATTCTATAAGAAAAAAACAAATGTTCGCGAAGTCGATGCATCAATCCTTTCCAAGCCAATCTTTAGTTGAAATGTAACAACAAAAACAAAACAAAAAAAATTACCTGTTCTTTTTCTTCATCGAGTATTAAAGGTTCTTCTGTTCTTTCCCATAAACGAATAGATCGATCATGTGCAGCAGTTACAATATGCATTCCATTATGTGTTATTGACATACAACGAATTTCACCACAATGACCCTACACATACAAAAAAAAAAAAAAAATTTCTCTTTCAAATCTTTTTTTTGAAAAGAAAAATAAAAAAAAAACGAACATCTAATGTTTGTATATGAAGAAATTTATCAGCATCCCAATATTTTAATCGATTATCTTTACTAGTTGAAAAAAATAAATGTGTTTTTGGTACAAATTGTATTGCTGTTATAGTATCATCGTGTGCAAATAATGAACGATGACAATCACCAAAATCTAAACCCCAAATTTTAATATTACGATCACTTGAACCAGTTATAACAAGACGACTATCTGATGATATATCAAGGCAAAGTACAGGTTGAGAATGTCCATATAATGAAAGAAACATCTTAAATTAAAAACAAAAAATTTTCAAACAAAAATTTTTTGTTTTATTTTACTTGACATGAATCCATAAAGAATACTTTGACAGTTGTATCCATTAATGCCGCAACAAAATATCGATTATTAGGACTGAGCAAAAAAAAAGAACAAGATCGATTTATTTTTTAATAATAGAAGAAAAATTTTATTTACGTAATTTTCAATGCAAGAACATCTTCACCAACATCAAATGAACGTTTTTGTTCGAATGATAAACGTTTTCTCATCTAAATTAGAAAATATTTCTTTTAACTATAAAATATAGTTCGGTAAATCCTGATCACAAGTAGCAACCCGAGGTCGACAGACTTTAATGCAAAGAATTTATGATGGAACGCAACAGTCCTTTCATCCAACCCAAAAAAAGGCTTTTTTGAAACTTTTCTGGTTTTTCAATAGTATCTCCATTTTTTTATTAATAAATAGAAGTTTGCATTTTCATATTGTGTCACAGATGGAGCACTTCAATCTGCTGTATATGCAAAGATTGCTTCATAAATCAGGCAAAATGAAATCGTTTGACATGACATTTTTATTGGTGTCAGAGGCAGCACTCTGCTGTCGAATGAGGGATCTAATATCATAAGATTTGTTTTTCATGTTAAGATATCCTCGTCTGAAGAAAAAAATCTTTGTTGACATTCTAACTCCTTTACACGAAGGTCGATCAAATCTTGATTAGTCCTTACGATTAGAGTTCAACATGGTCTATTTGTGCTTAAACTATGAGACTAAAATATTAAAGATTAGGTACTTTTTATCTGGGTAGCAGCACTTTTTATGACTACTGTATACAATGTTAAACAGAAATATTGTTTCTTAAAATTCTGCATATTATATTGTTTTCATTTCCAAAATACTGAAATATATTATTCAATTGAAGAAAGTAAATCATGAAAACATTATCTAAAGAATAATAACTTTTTCAAATCAAACAAAGTTTAGTAATCTAACTCAGAAAAACCATTGATTAGATTCAATCTATACGAGGAAAATATGTGAGATTACCTTAGTTCAATTCATACATATCGTAAGATATTTCTCAAATCACTTCACATAGATTTTTAAAAAATTTTTCAATTCAACTCAATGTATTGATTCGACAAACTAACAGTTCCAATTCAATTCATGAATTGAGTTGTGCAGCTCTGAAATTGATATCTTAATCTTTTTTTTCAAGCAATATTTTACTTTAAGCTTTCGGAATAATTTTCTGGCGAAAGATTCTTCTATATCGTTCCAAGTAAATATGTACCGAATTGGAACTTCAGTTTGGCATCTAGAACGAACCGTTCGAATTCGGACTCCGAATTCGTCCAATTAGTTAAGACAATATCAAGGCTTTGGATAAACTGCCCAAACATTGCTTGAATCATAAGGGCAATCATGGAAGTATCCTAAGATTCAGTTATGTTTCCATTCGAGTATTTTCGAATATTGACTTTTTTTTTTAGAATGGTGGCAGACCTTCGGTTTTCAAATCATTTAGTCCAGTATATGTAGATTTACCATAGGCAAGCCTGGAATCCTTTCTTTTGTCTTACTTCTGCTTCCTTTTATTAATTAACTATAAATCATCGTCAATCCAAACCTTCGAATTTCATTGTATGTCTATTTCTAAGGATATAAAAGGTATCTATAACCTGTTCAAAAGAGAAAAGAAAGAAAACTCGTGCAATTTGCTTGAAAACTTGCTATTTATTAGATGCATATAACTGAAAAGTGCATGAAATACATTCAAAACAAATTTTAAAAGTAAATTACTACAAATATATACAAGAAGGTCTTGTAATATATATGGCCCTTGAGTATTAAATAGTATCCTGCAAGTAGGTCGAGCCGGGTTGTTCAACCCTAAGCATAGGTCCGAGTATGATATCATACGCGAATCCGACTCAGCGATTAATTAGATTTCGATGTTTCAAAATATTTTTACTTTTTCAAACTGCTAATTTATATAAAAGCATAGAAGATGAAAGTGAACATCTGAACCATCTATTGTACTTGAGAACAGATCACAGAAGTGGAAATACGATATTGTTTTACTAAAAGAATTCATTTTCAATGAAAACTCATCTACAGATGATGATGAGTCAAAAATGAAGTAACTGAATATATGAAGAGGAAAATGATTTATCAAAAAGATGAATATGTATTATCATAATTGAAAAAGTATTTATGTATGTATCCACAATTATGACGTTTGGCATCAACATTGAATTTCATTCCAACGTCATCAGCAACAAGCAAATGTATACTTAGCGAAATTAATCGGATTTTTAGAAGCAGAAAGAGACCAAGTGAATTTTATACCACTTGCTTTTTTGTGAAATTTGAGGTTATCTTTTTTTTTTTTATTACTGTTTATGAAAGAAACTAAATAGTATACTTTTTCATATAAAATAAAAGTTTGAAAACTGTAATATAACTGTAAAAGTATATGCTCGATGTCGATTAACTCCGGTTCCGAAAAGTCATACTCGTGCAGGATACTAGTATTAAATAATGTTTTTCAACGAAAAAATTCGATAGATTCTTTTAAATAAAAAAGAAAATTTTACTTTTTTCGAATTATTTTCTTTTTCATCTTTTAATTCAAAATTCCAAAATTGAATTTTTTTATCACTTCCACCAGTTAAAAATGATTGCTAAAACGAAAAAACAAAAATTATTCGATAAAAACAAAATTTTTCATAATTAAATCAATTTACTCGATCAGATGTCATACACATTGCCCAAACTGATTGATTTTCTTCATGTCCTTGTACTATTTCAATAATTGAAGCTGAATCAAGTGAAGCTATTTGGAGTGAACCATTCTAAAATAAATTTATTTTTATTGTTATTCAAATACAAAGAAAAAAACTTATATTTGTAAATTATCTTACTTTACATCCGATTAAAACTGAATGATCACCAGGTAAAAACATACAACAAAGTGCATAATCACAAGGAATTGTTCGTATAGATTCACAACTATGTCTAAATAAAACTTTTTTTTTTTTTATTTTCATATAATAGAAATAAAACATAAACTAACCTATTCCAAATTTTAAGTGATTCTCCACTACCAGAAGCAATAAGCATATCATCTGAACTAAATGCTAAACATCGAACTTCTGTTCTATGAGCAGATTTTTCAATAGATGGTAATTGTTCAATAGTTTTATCTTGAATATTTAATGAATGTATATCAATTTTATTATTTAATGTAAGTGCAATTATCTAAAATCAATTTGATTTATTTAAAATCAATTTAATATAAAAAAAAAAAAGACAAATTTTACTTTGCATGTAATATTTGTATCCATAAAAAGATTCATAGCACGAATTTTTCCATCAAATTTGATCTCACATAATGATGTAAATATTAATGATATATCCCAATCAATTTTAATTTCTTCTTCACTAAAGAAAATAAAAAAAGGTTTTGATTACATTTTTTTTGTTTTAATAATAACAAATGTCATAATTAAGAAATAGAAATTATTTACTTTTTTTCATCACCATTTTCTTTTCGTTTTCGTGCTTTTAATAAACGTTTTCGAAGACGTGTACGAATTTCATCAACAGTTGATATACGAAAAAATTCACCAAATGATTCAACACCCTCAAAAAAAAAATATAATTCAATAATAATTATATTAAAAAAACATTGACTTACATGACAAGCAAGTATACGACTTTCATTATCAACATTTAAACTTGATACTCGTTGTTTACTTTTACGAATAATTGAACCTAAATATTGAACATGAAGAGGTACCTTAACAAAAAAAAAAAAAACATATAATCAAAAAATCATTTTATACACTTTCTACAGAAGAGAAAAAGCTATTGATGAGGTTAAGAATGAATACAAGACATGAGACTTTATCTTTCTAGAGGATAGTCCAAAGATATGTCTTTCACAGTCTATGATGAAAATAGAAACTAAATATGTAAGGGTGTTCCGACCCTTGCTGCAGAAATTGATAAGCAAAAAAGAATGAAGATCGACCGATTTTACTGGAGAAAAACAAAAATTTCCCAAGATTGCGGGACATTTCTGTAAAGATGAGAATACTTTTCATTTACTTCTTTTTTGACTCGTACAGCTATCCATTAATATTCATATTTTCGTTTCATGATAGCATATCAAGGAAGAAATAGTGGAATTCTAAAATCCTGATTTCCTCTTTTCCCATAGTGATTTAAAAGTCCGGAGAGGATCAATCCGATCTTCGGAGGAACATCGATCCACCGCGCTGGATAAAACATTGTTCCACAGAATTCTTAGTAAGGTTCTAAGATGCTATTTGCATCATAGCAATTTTTCATATTGGTATCTCATTTTTTTTTGTATCCATTCGCGGTCATCGGTATATATATATATATCAATGGTTCGTTAATTCTTTTTTGCTGAGTTTCAGGTCAGAAGATCGTATTGTCTCTACTATAAATATTGGGATTGAACCGATGTCTTCGTTTTTCTATCAACGTATTCAAATCTCTAAGTACATATTTGCATCAATGACTTATTTTTATTGAAGACTAAATTTTGACATTCTTTCATCCCCATCATTATTTAATTCGTGTTTTAGTATTCTGAAGATCAGAAAAAAAAGAACTTCTGAATAAAGGAGTTATGAAAAATGTTATTAGAGCTATTGTATTAATTGTTGATATACAGTAAAAGATAATCTAGTAATTGTAGTACATCTACAAGCTCTTAGATTTCAAGACTCTGTAGAATTCTCAAAATTTCTTATGACTTTCTTTTTCTGTTTCCTCCTTGCAGAACATTCACATTAATAGAATTGGTAAATCTTAAGATATAGTATTAAAACATCTGCATTTCCAATAGAAACACTTTCATCATATTTTACTGAGATTCCTATAATAGGTTTCACTTCTCAAAACATTTCTTGTGCATAACATTCTACTAAATAAAATATATTTATCTTTCATGGATAAAACTTCGATAGAAAAAAAAACTTATTTCATCATAAAATAAATTTCAAAACGATGAGTCACAAAAAGTCATTGATTTAAATCAATGTTAATTTTCGGTTCAATCTAAATCTTAAATATTTACTTGATCTTCACTTGTCTTTTCATTATTCATTGGAGGAAACGTAAAAGTATCATCTTCATCCTAAACAATAGAAATAAATTTCAATTTATATATTAAAAAAAAACTTCGTTACTGTTGTTGTAGATCGTAAAGCAAAAAATCGTAATTCATTATCTGAACAACCAGTAATTAAATATCGATCATGTGCTAAAGCAATACTCCACACCTATATTTCAAAAAACAAAAAATAATAATAATAATAATAAAAACTCAAATAAAACTAAGAAAACCTCTGTTCGATGTGTAACAATTGTATGAAAACAATGTTGAATAGTCATATCCCAGAATTTTATTGTCATATCTTTTGAACTAGAAAATACTTCTACATCAAATAAAATCACCAATTTTTTTTTTTTCGATAGTACATTACCTTGAAATAAGTACTGATTGACTAGCCATAATAATAACTTTTGTTATAGGTGCTTTATGACCACGAAGACGATAAAGGCCAGCTTCAGTAATAAGATCCCAAGCAATAATATCTGTATCCTTATTAGAAAAAAAAAAGCAAAAATATTTGTTTGCTTTTTTTTTTGTTCTATATAAATCTTTTTTTTTATTAATACTTTAGATCCTGAGATAAGTGTTGCTGAATCTTGTGTAAATGTTAATGTAGTTATAGTTGATTTATGTCCATGAAAATTTACATGAGTTTCATTTTGTGTTATAGAAAATATTTTAATAATACCATTTTGATATCCAACAGCTAAATGTTTTCCATTTGGACTAACACAAACAACAATTGCTTCTTCACGAATTTTTTTCTTTGATATTGTTGATAAAGTTGTTTCATCAACAAATTTATTTATCTTAAATTTAATTAATTTTAAAACAAAAAAAGACAAACAAAAAAGAAAATCAATACTTGTGAATGAGTTTTAAGATCCCATAAAAGAACATTTTCACATGCTGGAACAAATATACGACGTGAACTTGTTTTTATAGTTGTTGGTAATAGAGCAATATTATTTGCATTACCACTACCGATGATACCAAAGACTTTTTCAGGAGCATGACGATCATATTGCTTTGTAAGAACCATCTGCAATGAGAAAATAAAAGTATTTTCTTTTCAAGTAAATTTTGTTTTTTTTTTAGATTAAAATCTTGTAAATTAGTAATTGATATTAACAACTATGTTGAACAAAAGAAAGAATATTTAATCATTCGAGAAACGATCGAACTAAAATAGAAAAGCTTCTATAATTTACAGTATAGAAAAACTGTCAGACAAATATCATTAATGATTTGTATCAAGTACTGTCATCTTTAAACTTGTAACTTTGAGCGCAGGACTCTCGAGAATTGTTAGAGATTGAAGAGGCTAATAATTTGATAGAACAGAATGAAATTTTCGCACATGCGACGTAAGAAATGGGAGGAGTTAGATCTTAATGATCAAATAACCGGTTATTGTCGGTCTAATAAAACAGTAACTTCACTTTTAGTCTTATAAAAAAAACAAATGATCAATCTAACTCAATAGGATTTCTCATTACTATTCTTATAGAAAATTTGAAGCTGCATCAACAAGATTATAAGATTTATCTGTGTTGAGATATTTGAAAAATATTAGATATTGTAATTATTATATCTCAGTCGGTATTTTATTTTTTATCTAATTATTAACTTTTGTGTTAGTAAAATTTGAAAAAACATGCACTCATAGTCATTAAACACATTAAAAAATAAACGAAAAATTTTATTAACAAAGAAGTAAATATAGTTTTAGAATAATTCTATATAATCAACTTTCTTTTAAATAGTAAAGATGTCGGCAATTTGAAATTTGAACAAAGTTGTTTTTTTGTATCATAGTTGCATAGAGCTCATGGAGTTACTAATAAAAAACTTTTTTATTTTTTACATATTCAGACCATGTTTTTTTAGTGAAACTTAGGAAAATTGGGTTTAATAGTATGAGGAAAAAAGTCTATAAAAATTGAAATAATACATCAAACGCATCAAGTCTCGACAGCCTCAATATTTATCTGAATTTTTCATTTTACTCGTCATATAATTAAGGGAGAAAAGCTGTAAAATCGGATTTGTATTTAGAGATTTTCACAATCAAAACTTCAGTTTCAAAAGAAATGAATATCATATTTAAAATCAATACAAAAATTTGCATCTCATAGTATACTTAATACTTATAAGTAATTTTCGTCAAAGTTGCGTCCTTAGGAAACCATAGGTCAAATTATTCGAAAATAATAGTGAAGGATGTAAAGCTCGAAATTAGTTTTGAGTATTAAAAGTACTGTTTGATGCAGATGTTTGTACTGATTCTGAATATAATATTCGTTTCTTTCGGAACTAAAATTCGGATCGTGTTAAACGTTAAATACGAACTCGTTTTTATGACTTTTTTTTCTAACTATTTGACGAATGAAATCAAAAATTCCGATAAATATTAAGGCTACCAAGACTTGATGCGTATGGCGTATTATTTCAATTTTTATAGACTTTCTTCAAATTTTTAAACCCAATTTTCTTAAATTTCACTGCAAAAACATCATCTGAATATGTTCAAAAAAACAACATTTTCATAGATAAATCAACGAGCCATAACGAAAAACATCAAAACAAAAATTTCGAAGTGCTGGCACCTTATAATCTTACTTAATTTTAAAAAAAACTTATCGAAAATGATGATTAAATTTCGATTGCTTCTTCAATAGATTCCAATCGATAATCTTTTATAGTCCTCCATACTATAAAATAGATGTCAGTAATTAAACAAAAAAAAAAAAGAAAACATAAATAGATGATATAATATTTTGCATTCTCGAAGTCACTCGATCAAGAGCATTCAAAATGGTGACGTTGCAAAGCAGCTGATGTTTCATTCGAAATTCTTTTTATGAATCATCATATAAATAAACATTTATATTTTCATTGATTTTAGATTTTTTCCTTTTACTATTCAAATACAAAAAAAAAAAACAAAAAAATTATTGACAAATTTCATTACAAATAATGGCTTATGCGTATCTTTTTAAATATATTATTATTGGCGATACGGGTGTGGTTTTTTTTTAATGAAATCATATATTGATTATTATTGTTTCTTTTTTCTTTCTATTTATAGGTGTTGGTAAATCTTGTCTATTACTTCAATTTACCGATAAACGATTTCAACCTGTACATGACTTAACAATTGGTATGATAAAAATGAAAATAAATTATATTTAATTAATATAGAATTTCATTAGGTGTGGAATTCGGTGCACGAATGATAACAATTGATGGAAAACAAATAAAATTACAAATTTGGGATACAGTTTAGTTTTTATCAAAAAAAAAAAAA